AGGTCAAACGCCCACCCCGGCCCTTTCTCGTTGCACAGCGCCGAGGTGGAGCTTGAACGAAGGAGCCGCCCAGCAGCGGCGGCGGCGGGAGCCCCTTCGAAGCGGGCGACGAAGGCGAGGGCGGGGTGTGCCTCAACGGGGGCGTGTGCTCCGTGGTGGACGACCAGGCCGTGTGCGACTGCTCGCGGACCGGCTTCCACGGGAAGGACTGCAGCCAAGGTAAGGCCCGCCCCGCCCCGACCCTCCCCGGGGCCTCGGCCTGGGCGGGGGCAGGGGGGCTGCCTGCTCGGGACCGCGGTTCCGTGGGTGTCCAGGTGAAGCCCGGTCTCCGGCCTGTGCGCCTCTGCACCTCCCACCGCTGCGCCCTTGGCATCCTCTTCAGGGCTGAGCAGCCCCGTGTGCAGGTTCCGTCTCCTCCCGGGAGTCCCTGTCCACCGGCCCTGCTTCCCACCTCGTGGCCGGGAGGATGCCCTGTGCCATCCGCTCCTTGGAGCCTTTGCCAGGCTGCTCCCCGTCTGCACCGGGCCAGGGCCCACCCGAGCCCCCGCTGTGCTCGCCAACGTCACCTTGCATCCAGAGTGCACAGATGTCCCCCATGGGAGGCAGCTAGGCATGAGCAGATGGGGCACCGGTTTGGGGAGGAGTGAAGTGCAGAACAGGCTCAGCGTGGCTGAGCGTCTCCACGTCAGTCGGGGCGCTTGGTGAGGGGCAGGGAGTCAGGACTCTGGGCACTGCTGCGCCTTTTACAGGTCAAGCGTGGAGAACCGGGGAGGAGCATGCGAAGATTTTCTATGTCTACGACCAAGACCAGCATTGGTCGGTTTAAAAGTAAAACGATGTGACTTCTGTGGTTTCTAAAGTGGGAGACAGGCCAGCTCGTGTTTAGAAATGTTAGAGATTTAACAGCATTTCTCAATCGGCAGATGCTTTGGGAAGCTGAATAGGAGAGACATTTAGATGTTGCTGGGCTGGGAAGCGAAGAAACAGGGGCTGCATGTGAAGGATGGCAAGAGATTATCTGAGGATAATCAGCAAATGGCATTTATCTGAGTAGTGGAGGCCAAGTTGTCATTTCTGTTGTTCTTAGGGATTGAAACAGTCTGGCATTTAAAATAAAATCAGATCTAAGTTTTATTTTCTCCCCTTGGAAAATTCAGTCATTAGTGTGTTTCTCCAGTGTCACTACATGACAGTGACCAAGGAACAGTATTGTTGTGTAAATACAGAAAAGCCTATGAACAGAAAGTGAGTGATATGAAACCAGTAAAACATGGATGTATCTGTGGCTGACCCGGAGAGAAGATGTCAGGGTCAAATCAAGGCAATCAACACATGGGCAAATGGTATTTACGGCTGAAATTTAAAGAAAGGTGAATTATTAAATCTGATTTTGAAAGCTGTAGGGACTAAGCTCTATGTATGGTTGTATATTACTGTATGTCTTCTGGGTTTTTATTTTTGCTGACACTGCTAAGGGGAACTAGCCCTTGTAAATCTTATTAGATTTGGCAGTTCTCTCTCACCTGACTTTAAGAAAAAAGAAGGCTTGATACAATTTGTATTTGTTTAAACAGCAAAGGGAGATAGGAGGAAAAAAGCTGGTGATTAGGAGAGTTCCTGAGTTTATGAAAAAAAAAATAAGAGGTTATTTTCTTGCTCTGTCTTCATGAGGGCTTTTGTTTTCATTATATTTTGGCTTAAGTCATTATAGAAGACTATTCCATGGCCTATACCGCACCTCAGTGTGGCCAGTAAATTTCCATGGATTTAGCATCAGGCTTTGTAGTTATATTTTACATAAATAAAACAGTACATGTTTCCCTCTACCAAATCTAACTTAATTGTAAATCATGATTCAGATAACTACATGTGATGAGTTGCCATAATATAATTTGAAGTTGCATTCCTCTACACTGATTAATAGAAATGAATAAAAATGAACATTATTTTATGGCAAAAACTGCTGTAAGTATCCCAATGGCACTTTAAAATACAGAGCAGGCCATTTAATAAAGAACACATAAGGTATAACTTCCTTAAATTATGAAACAAATATGACCCAGCCTGTGCTCTGTGGGAAGGTGTTTGAAATGACAATTTTAATTTTTCCATGTATTTTTAACATGGGATCCAGGGGTCATGTATAATCAGGAGTAGCTCAGATTGGAGAAAGCATGGCAACAGTAATATGTTGATGAGAAGCAGAATTAGATGTCTCTGGAATGCATTTTATTTTGCAAGTGGATAGCTCTTTTCAGAAGGGGAAGAATTTCAAATACCAAACTACATAACTGAACATTATAGTACCTGATGCATAAGGTAATTCAACCCAGAAAAGAAAATCCACCAGGATTGTCCTGGAGCATTGATTCATTGTGAAAATTTGAGCCTGAACCAGGAGTGCAGAGATCACCACTAGTCATAGAAAGAAAACCAAAGGCTGGATTCCTTTGATTATCTCAGGAATGGGAGATGGAGTGATAAAGGCTGTCTTTCTCCCCTAAAGGATTGGCTCCATTTTGATGATTTTCCCTGTTTTGTGTGTGTCAAGTGACTATTAAATAATTAATTGAGAATTGATGCCTCTCTCAACACCAATCATCTACTGATGGCTAGGGATAGATCATTTCTATTCAGATGAAGTATAAACAAAGCCCTGCCTCAGGCAGCATTTACACTGATTGCCACATTCTTTAAAAAAACTAATTCAAAAACAGATAAATCCACATCCATTAGAGAAAATTCAGAAAAAAAATTAACAGCAAACATTAAATAAAATTTAAATAATGTCTGGTGTCAACTATATTTTTTTTAACTTAATAAAAATGTCTAATAGTATTTTAGTTGTCTTCATATTCAAAATACCACAAAGTTACTAGAGAGACAGTGAGACTAGTCTCTTTCTCCCTCCCTGGCCTAGAATGTCTTGAAACAATTTATGCATCTGTGAGTTTTTAGAATGTTTTTTTTTAATGAGTTCACTTTTATCCTCACTCTATTTATTCTCGCCTAGCAAATTTTATTTATTGATTTATGTAGTAATGGAAAGAAAATAAAAATAAAAGTTATGTGTCATGAACAGGTTAGTGGCAGAGCCTGGGCACAAACACTGATTCTCTATCTCTGTATTATCATGTCTGCTGAATAAGATTTCTAGTTTATTAGGGTTGATATTTTTTCAGGTTCAGGCATCAATTAAGAGAAAAAATATATATATAGCTGATGGAACGGAACTAGCTTATGCATCAGTTCCATTCTTTGACCCTTAAAAGTCAGTCCCAGAATGGAACTATCTAAGAATGTCATTTTTTTCAATGATGACCGCTTGTGGGGTACATAGCTTTTTTAGTTAATCATACTCATCTAAGTGCCTCAGGGACATTATTATTTAATAAGTTTCCACTTAAGAGGACTAATAGTTTCCTAGCACCTTAAAGAATTAGTGAATTCCATGGCTACCTACCTTAAAATGAGAATAAAAGGCTGATCAATGACAAATTAAGTTAAACTTTTTATGATTTCCACATCCAGGTTTCATGTATTTCAGGATCATTTATATTAAAATTCCATACAAGACTCACTCTGTCTCTTTTGTTTACATCCCCTGTTTAAATAGCCATAAACACATATGGCTTGTGATGGTTGATTGCTTAATATTAACAAACATGGCAGTGTGATGGATGTCATTTAATAAAGCCTCTGTATTCTCTGACTTTACTAAGAGGACCAGATAGACAACCCTATTTACTCATTTATTTACTCACTCATTTCTTAAAATTGAGGGCTTTGTATGCGCCTGAGTACTAGACTCAGGCAATAAAATGGTAAACTCTCAGAAATAGTTACTTTCTTCAGAGACTTGCATTCCAGTGAGGAGGCACAATACTTAAAAATAAATAAATAGATGGGAATTTTAAATGGTAGCATTTTGGAGGACTGGTATACAGTATTGTGATGACTTAAAATAGTGTGAACTGAACTAATCAAAACAGGTAGTACTGAAGAGTGATCTCTAAACTACAACCCAAGAGATGGGAACGAGTTAACTAGGTAAGGGCAGGGAGAAACATTAGGTACAGAATCCTGGTGCAGGAGATGGCACGGTACATTCAAGCAATTGAGAGAAGTTCCTTGAGTAGGGAGCTCTTAGAGGGAGCAGGACCAGACCATGCAGGGCTTTCTAGACCTTGTCAGTGATTTTAGTCTTAATGTAAAAGTGGTAGAAAAGCACTGGAAGGAGTTTTGTGTGGAAGGTGAGGAGGAGGATGCCATTATTATATTTATATTTCAAAAATGTCACTCTGGCTGCAGTGTATAGAACAGATTGATAGGGGGCCAGAGGAAACATTATTTTCTGTTTGTCAGTCAACAACATTTGTTAAGCACCCACTGTAAGCTGTGGACAGAACTAGGGCACATAGAGAAAAACAAGATTCTTTCTCTAAGGAAGTTAGAATCTTTGTCAGTTTACTTACGTGGAGAAATCTAAGACTCTTCGTTGTTTGGAACACTTTGGTTCTATCTGTAAAAGCAAAACATTCTTTGAACCTTTTTGTGACTTGTCATGTGGTTTCTGGCAGATATACCCATTGGCTCTTAAGGCTCTGGGGCCCATTGGCAATGTCATATTTTATTATACCCTCAAGTACCTTGCTAAACATGTCTTTCTTGTGACAGTATATATTGGTTGATTGATTCTGGGCTTTCAATATTTTAACCACTACAATAAATGAAAATATTATGTAGATACTTAACATCTTTGTGAAGGTAAAAAAATACAGCATTTACCATATAGGTAGGTACTAGACAAAAATGGTTCAGAGATTTTACCAGAGTTTTGTTTGAAGTCTACCATTGTAGGGTGAGGTGCATCATCTGTGATGAGAAAGCTTGGAGTGCCGTGGAGAAGTCCATCAATAATTTTGATATAGATAAAATATTCTAGGAAGCTCTTAAAGTGAAAGGCATCTATCAGGTCTAGCAAAAAAAGTTTATCTCAACTATAAATTAATATCCAAAATTGAGTTATGACTCTAGAATGCCACAAATGAGGTGGAATGTATTATTTTGAGTTTTTAATTGTTTTGAGATGCAATTGTAGTGTAGAGGTTAAATTATACAGACTCTGGGGCCACACTACCTTATTTGAGGGGTTATACACTCAAACTTATATTCCTCAGTTTTGTCATCTGAAATTGGACTAATAATCATATTTCATA